TGAACTCCATTCCGGTGACAGTAGGAATGGGCCCAGAGTTTCTGCAGCTTGGTGGCAGTGGGATGGGGTATCAGGCTTCCTTCCTGGGAACAACACTTATTCAGGTAATTCTTTTGAGGTATGTCTACCCCATTCCTCATGGGGAGGGCACAGAACATCGTAATACTCTCAACTCTTATGAATCCCCTTCCTATAATTCTCCCTTAATGAACCTGGATGCATTTCTTTCATAGGCTATTGGGTTTAAGGCTAGCCATTTGGACACCTCTAAGTGGCAATGTATTGAGCCTTTCTTGAGATGCAAATCACCCATGGCATGTGACTTTGAGACTTTATTTAAAATGTAGGCAACTGAATAGTCTATTCTACATCTTATAAATGCAGATGAGATGAGGATAATGACTTGCTTGGGAAAATACATCAATCAATGGTAGAATGGAAAATAAACTCCAGCTTCTTTCAGTTTCCTGTTAAAGGCTAATGCCTGCAATCCAACATTTTCCTGACCAATTTTCTAACCAATTTGCTAACCCTGGTTAATACAAAACACTTTCTGACCAGAAGCCTGTGAAACCATTTCCAAATTTCCTCTCATCCCATGTGTATCTAACCCACATCAGTTTCCTTCTTACGGTGCTTTCCCTGGAGCTGGTCTCAGAGGCCCAGAGGGGTAACATATGATTATTTTAATAGGGATCTTGGGACATACCTTAACTACTAATGGTGAAATTTTCAGGCCCATAGATAGGATGGTAGAGAAGACAGCACCAAATCACACAGAATTCTAAATGCATTAAATTGGTTAATCCCTGAGTTGTTTGTGGTTGCTTTTTTTTAAACAATATTTTTCACATAATAAAAGCTTTGATTTGAAATGCTGATTGATTTATGTTCCCTTATTTTTATCATACACATAACTACATATCTTCTATGTATAATCACGATAAATATTTTCAACCTTAGATAATTTGTCACAGATCTAAATGAGAAAAGGTTGTGCTAAAGATTGAATTAGTTTTATTTTTATTTCTCATTATTTTCACCTTCAGTGCAGATAGATAAAAACAGTAGCATTTTGCTTGGTGCGATGGTGCATGCCTGGAATCCCAACAGCTCAGGAGTGAGGCAGAGGATCATTGTGAGTTCAAAGCCAGCCTCAGCAATTTAGTGAGGCCCTAAACAATTCAGGAAGACCCTGTCTCTAAATGAAATATAAAAAGTGCTGTGGTGTGGCTCAGTGGTTATGTACCCCTGGCTTCAATCCCCAGTACCTGCCTCCTCCCCTCTCTCAAAAAAAGTAGCAGTTTTAGGTGAAAAGTGTCTCCTTCCTCAGACTTTTTGTCTGAAAGTAGATTCTCACCAGAATGCTTATCACATTCACTCCTGGGGCTAAAATGCTGTTGAACACTTGTGATTCATCAGTCCCACCCACTTCTCCATTAAAACAAAACAAAACCAAAAAAAAAAAAAGAACAACAACAAAAACTTTTGTGTCCTTTAGAAGGATAGTTGAGAAGACAGAATATTTTCTTAACAAATCTTTAGTTGCGTAATCAGATGCCGTTGAAAAAAAATGTCCTCAGCACCTGGGAACATGGAATTAATGGGATAAGGATGTTGGGGAAAGCCACCAGCAGGAGCAGGTGAGCCATCTGGCAACAAAGACCCTGATGGGACCTAAACATAAGCACAAAGGAAGTTTGTCTTGGTAGGTCTTTTTTTTTTTTTTTTTTCCCTTCTGCTTCTGTGTTAGTTTTTTTCTTTGTACTTGTGGATGGTCTAGATAGCCTATCCTGTAAAGCAGCCGGCTGGAGAGAAAAAAGTTGGCCTGCCATGACATCAAAACCTGGGTTTGAGTCCTCACCCAGCTAATAATTGTCATGAACATGTTGCCTAAATCCTGAATCTCAATTTCCTCATTGACAACACAAACGCAGTAATAGCTGCTTTCTTTGCATGAAAAAAATTTCAAGATATGTTACATAAGATGACCAAGATTCACAAAAGTGATTTGAACACTCTTAAACCCTACACAACTAAGTCTGTTTTGGGGAAATATACAGGGACAAGCTGTTAGAACACCGGAAGCAAGCCAGATCTGTGGCACAAGCCTATAATCCCAGCAGCTCAGGAGGCTTATATAGGAGGATCTTGAGGCAGTCTCAGCAATTTATTGAGGCCTGAAGCAACTCAGTGAGACCTTGCTTCTAAATAAAATATTAAAAAGGACTGAGGATTTTGCTCAGCAGTTAAGCACTTCTGGGCTCATTCCCTAGTACCGGAAAACAAACAGAGTAAATTACTGCTGCAGTCAAATGGTGCTGAGCTTTTGTTCCCAGGCCACATGCTTGGCTTCCTATGATCCTGAGAATAGAGATGAGCATATCCTTTATTGTGGCCTACAGGGCACCACAAGGTCTGGCTTCTTCCTACATCACTAGTCTCACCCTATACTTTTTTTTCTCTTCATCGGGAACTGCTCTCCACTATTTTACCTTTTAAAATTACCTCTTCCTGGGCTGGGGTTGTGGCTCAGTGGTAGAATGCTGGCCTAGCATGTGTGAGGCACTGGGTTTGATCCTCAGCACCACATATAAATAAAAAAAATAAAGGTCCATGGGCAATTAAAAAGAAATATCTCTTCCTTAGGGAGCTTGCTCATGATTCCCTGACTAAGTCTGGTTCCTCCAATTACATGATCTGATAGAACCATATATCTTTTGAACTTTGTGAAATTTGTTAACAGTTATAATTTACACTTATTTGAGTGATTTTACATTAATATCTGCCTCCCCTGATTACCCAAATGAGGAGTAGAAATTCATTTTGTCTTATTTACTATTTCATTCTTGGTTTCCAATATAGTTCCTGGTACATGGTAGATTCTGAATACACATTTATTAAATGAGAGAATAAATGATCAGATGGGTGAGTGATAGTCCCTTCTTGTAGACACTGTAGGGACAGAAGGAGATTTGAATCTCGTTCTTCATTGAAACTTGGCCTAAAGAGCTTTGTCACTATTGAGAAGGGGTAGCTGAAAAAAACAGGCATTGAAAGCAGTTTTCTGACTTACCTGGGAAGGCCAGAATAATCCTTGATGCAGACTGGCCTTTATCCTGAGAGGTGTATTTATCTGGGATACCTGGATTTTTAAGAAAAATTTTATCTATTTATTTATTTATTTATTTTTGGTACCAGGCATTGAATCCAGGGGTGCTGAGCTACATTACTAGCCCTTTTTTTTTTTTATTTAGATACAGGGTCTTGCTAAGTTGCTGAGGCTGGCTTTGAACTTGTGATCCTCCTGCCTTAGCCTCTGGAGTTGCTGGGATTACTGGTGTTTGCCACCATGCCTGGCTCTGGATTTGTATATGTCAAGTGGATGCATACAAATGAACATACTAAAAGAAAAAAAACCTTTCCGGAGAAAATATGAATCCCAGAGAAACCTGCTCTGGGTAGAAAGTTAAAAATTGCTGAATATAAAGTTGTATTTCTGCAGACTCTATTTCCTCAGGGAAAAAGGGTGGTACTTTTCTAAGGAGGATACTCATGTGGGCTACTTAGGCAAATTTGTTTGTGTGTATACTCCTTCTTGAGTAGTGGCTATCTCATGATGCTGAAGCTATTTTATTGAGAGGCAAGAGACATCATGACGCTTCAGTTCCCGCTGGGGAAGAGAAGTCTCCTACTTCTGTATGGAATCCAGTGTGTGCCTGAACCTAGAGAAATGACCTATTTGGAGACTCTGGGAACCATCACACTTAACTAAATTGTTGGCAGGGTCAGTGGTGACTCTTCTTCATTTGAATATGGGAGTGGGAGTGGGAGTGGGGTAGTGAGGGGAGCAGGGTGGATATGCAGGGTGATTGCAGTAGACAGGTTTAGGAGCAACAGGAGGCTCCTCCTGTAGGACCTGCCGAAATGCTCCAAGAGGCCCCAGAGTCGGGCAGTCAGGAAAGAGCCCATCTGTGCAGGTGGGAAAGAACAAGACCCGGGATTATTGTTAGGAAAGGGACTTCATTTATAGCCACAGCTTGGGTAGGTCTGTTAACATTGAGTTAAATTTTAAGGGATTTATAAAGTGATTTGCACATGTTAAATATATTTTCAAGAAGCTGATAAATGTGTGATAATACATATCCACATTGGCTAGGAATGGGCACAGTCACCCTCTGGTAAACAGTTTGTCCCAATGTACGCAAGACTTTTCTCATTTTAACAGTGGAATTACAAAGTCCTAGGAAAATCAGAAGGATTGGTCACCCTGTCTCTCACTTACCCTGATTATTACCTTCAAGAGAGGATAACAGCAGAGCACTCATATGGCTTCACAATGTAGCAGAAACCAGGATCCTTCCAAGAGGCATAGTCGCCTCTTAAATGTCCATTGTATCTTGTGAAACTGGAAGCATTCAGACCCACAGCCAGAAAGCAGAAGGCCCAACAGTCCCAGCCCAGGGGAGGCTACCATCTCCCCTCTAGGATATTAAGAATCTATAAGACAGCAAAAGTCTATTGTGAATATCCCTTTTAAACTGTGCCCTGAGAAAGATTTTTAATCCTAAGGTGCTATATGGGTCAAAAATTCATTTTTCTTTGCCAAAGCACTTTTGTCATCTTTTCAAGCTATATACACATGCCTCTTCACACTAGGTTTTTCTGTGATGGATGTAACTTTGTAATATATATTTTTTAGTAATAAAAGGATCAAACATAAAATTAATGAATTTGAAAGCATAGTTTTTGGTACCGTGGATTGAAGCCTGGGGCACTTTACCCTTGAGCCACATCCCCAGCCTTTTTTGAGATAGGATCTCTCTAAATTGTTGAAAGCCTGGTTAAGTTGCTGAAGCTGGCCTCAAAGTTGTAATCCTCCTGCTTCAGGATCCCAAATTGCTGGTATAAAAGGCATGTGCCATTGTGCTCTGTTGAAAGCACTTTCATATAAATAAACTCTCAAAATGAGATAAACATGTTTGTTAGACACTGTACCTTTAATTTTTCATTCTGAAATGAAGATCACTGTATCACCAAGATAATCAAGTTCTCAACAGATGGGATGGCAACCTTCCCCCAAAAGTAGGTGAGCAAAAAAGAAGTGATAAAGGATAAGGAAGAGAAGGGTTTCTACTGACATTTCTTTATTGCAGGGATTCCTTGGCAGACGCAGTCCTAGATGAGCAGGTTCATAGGTCTTGGGGTGAGGTGGAAGGAGCCATCAAATTCCTCTGGTTGAGTGCAGGATGGTGGGGCTGTGTGATGGGCCATCCACGGAGAAGGCACATCTTCTTTTCCCAGGCACACGGAGAAGATGAGGATTAGTCCACCAAGAGCCAGGAAAATACCAGCAGCCCAGCCCAGGTAGAGGGCATCTCCAAACTCCCACCGTGGTACAATCTCAGGGATACTGTCATCCCAGAAGTCTCGGATTGTGGCATAGGCCACCCAGGAGACTGGAAAGAGGGTAGTGGCTGAAGCTGATGCTTCCAAGGATCCTCCCAAGAGGCATAGCCGCCTCTTAAATATCCAATGTATCCTGTGAAACTGGAAGCATTCAGATCCACAGCCAGAAAGCAGAAGGCCCAACAGTCCCAGCCCATGGGAGGCTACCATGAGGATGCGGGATACCTGGAGCTCTTGGGGCAGAGACAAGAAGGACTCAAAGCCTTTGCATACCGTGCCAACTTCCTCCTGATTCACACAGGCCTCCCAAAGCCCCATAATCCAGGTCTCCATTTCGTTCAATTCCAGATTGAGAGTCTTCCACTGGGGCAGGATTGTGGTGATACAGGAGCAGACCCAGCCAAGGAAAGAGAGAAGCAGTCCCCCAAGCTGGACTCTCCCTCGGAAACTCCAGGCCATAGTTGTTTCCTCTCCAGAGGCAGAGGAGTATGAGTGCCTCAGGAACTCCTTGGCAGGGACTATTTTTAGGAGACTGGGGTGGAAAGTCTTGCACATTTGTAGAGGGTTCCTGTATTAGTTTTCTAGGCAGCAGCTGAGGCAGGTGTCAGGAACTTGGCAATGTTTGGGTTTAGCGGGTGTGTCCAAGATAGGATGTAGGTGTGGATTTTGGCGGAGGGTCTCATGAAAGGTAAAAAGACATATGGCAAGCCATCAATAGTTTATAAACTTAAAATCACTCCCCATCTCTGAGATCTCAAGAAAAATGTTCTGGAGATATACATTGATTTAATCTTTTTTGGAAGGCAATAGGACTTCATGTTTTATAGTTTTAAATATGTGCAAACTTTGATCCAGCACCCTATCTCTAGGAATTTATCTAGTTTTTTTGGTGAACATATACAAATAATTATGAAATGTCTGTTGAAAGGTTGTTAATAATGGTAAATTTTAATACCATTTTAAAGTGATGCTATAAGAGATTTTAATGACATGAAAAAAATTTTTAATGTTGTTGTTGTTTTTCTTTATTTTACACATTTTAATTAAATGGATATTTTGTGATTAAGAAAACTTGTAACATAGGTTTCTGTAGTACTAACAATTGCTTTTTATAATTGGCTTGGTCTCTCAGCACCAGCAACTCCATGGAAGTCCATCTGGTGGCATCACTGTGTTTGTTTTTTTTTTAATTTAAAAAATATTTTTTCATTTGTTCTTTTTAGTTATATATGACTGCAGAATGTATTTCGACATATCATCCATTCATGTTGTTAACTGAGGAAAACAGATGACCAATAGTATATAATCATACAGAATGCAATTTCATTTTTATAAAAAGGGTATATGTGTATATGTAAGACACATGATATATATGTATGTGTTTATCAGATTAAAAAGTTAACCCTGCTTATATTGATAGTAGGATTATGGATAGCTTTTTATTTATTTGTGCTTTTCTATGTATTATTTAATGAATTTATCATTTAATTTTTTTTGTACCAGTGATCGAACCCAGGGGCACTTAACCACTGAGTCACATTCCCAGCTCTTCTTATCTATTTATTTATTTATTTTTGATACTGGTGATTGAACTCAGGAACTCTTGACCACTGAGCCATTATGCCGGACTCATTTAATATTTTTGTAAACCGAAAGCCCACAAATATTGTCATTTAAAAAAATTAGAATTTTCCCAGTTCAAATTACCTACCTAGACACACCTGAAGGGAAGTGCTTCCTTCCCAGGGGCTGCAGCTGCAGCTGCTCCTGCTAGGAAGGCTCCTATAAACAGATGGTAATCATACCAGCTTTCATTCTTGCTTGTTGTTGCTGCCAAGTAGCAGGATTGAAGAGGAAAGGAAATAATATGCATTTACTCAGTATGACTAAATGCCAGACTTTGGTCCGGATGCTTTATCTGTATTTCATTTTCACACTGCCACCATATAGCCTCATTAGATAACTGCAAGTTCTGGTTAGCAGGCAACAGATACCACACCTGAAGCAGAGGGCTTGGACTTCGGAAGTTTCATGTTCTTGTCCCCAGCTGCTGTGGTGATTTTTCTGCCCTTCCCCTGCCTACCGGTGAACAGCATGTTGGTCTTAGTCTTTATGGCAAAACAGAAGAAAACCAGGATTTATTTTACTGAATTCACAAATGTCTGACCAATTGTGTTCCCCTTATGGTTTAGCCTACTTCACACAATACACTAAATATGGAGTGAAAGCACAGGTGTGGGCAGCCAGCAGAGTGAAAGCACCTCCTGAGAAAGGAAGGTTTTGACTTTTCCTAACTGAGGTCTTGAGGTAGTCTGGTATGCCAGTGATTGTCAATGGCACAGGGGAGGGAGGCAAGTAGCAGCATCTGGAATGCTCTTTTTTATGTTTTCATAAGATTTAAAACATATGCAAAAGTAGAAAAATGGATGAATCCCATATCTCACCCAGCCTCAAAAATTATCTGCTCTTAACAGTTTTGTTTCATCCACATTCACACTCTTCCTCACCAAAGAATTGTATGTGCATGGTGCTAGGGATTGAACCAGGGTCTCATGTATGCTCTGCAAGCACTCTACTACTAAGCTATATCTCCAGCCCCCAAAGTGACTATTTTGAAATACATAGTATGTCTTTTCAAATTGTTGCCTCCTTCTGTCGTTTTTTAAATAACAATGTGCAAACTTGGAAATGTTCTCTGCTTGTACTATTCATGGCAAGAGTTGTTTGATACTTTCCTTCCATAATACAGGTATGCCTCGTATGTGTGAACCATGATAGATTGGGAGGAATTCTAACATTGCTCCTGATTTTTCTGCCGTTTTCTGATGATCTGTGAAAATTTGTGAATAGGGAAACCTATAAACCCATGATAAATGTGAACTAGTGGGGCTGGGAATGTGGCTCAAGCCGTAGCACGCTCGCCTGGCACGCGTGCGGCCCAGGTTCGATCCTCAGCACCACATACAAACAAAGATGTTGTGTCTACCGAAAACTAAAAAAAATAAATATTAAAATTCTTTCTCCTCCCTCCCTCCCTCTCTCTCTTTAAAAAAAAAAAAAGAAAGAAAGAAAGAACCATCTCTGCCTTTAAAAAAAAATGTGAACTAGTAAGAAGTCAGTGTGTTAGATCTTTGCCACTGTGATAAATACATGAGGAAACAACTTAGATGAGGAAAGATTTTGGCTCATCATTTCAGGCCATGATTGGCTGGCTCCATTGCTTTGGCCTGAGGTGAGGCAGAATTTCATGATAAAAGGATGTGGTGGAGAAAAGCTATTCAGTAGTGGCACCCAGGAAGGAGATAGAGAGAGAGGGAGAGAACAGGGACAAGATACAGTCCGTGGGGGCATGCCCAAGGACTTACTATTTTACTAGGTCCCACCTCTTACACTTTCCATGACTTCCCAATAGTCCATTCAGCTATCAATGGATTAACCTACTGATGAGGCCAGAACCCCATTGATCCAGTTATTTCCAAAAGTCCCACTTCTAAACTTTGCTGCATTGGGGACCAAGACTTGAACACATGAATCTTTGGGGGACACTTTGTATCCCAAACCATAACAGTAAGGTGACAGAAAACAAACCCATTCATTTATTATTATTATTTTTATTTATTCAAGCATTCATTTATTCCTGCATTCACTGATTGTGCATAGCAATCCTTATCCATTCTGTGTGCTTTTTGTTCTTCCTCTGGCTCTTGCTTCTTTTCTTTGGACTCTGAGAAAGTCTTCACCTTTAAGTGGTTTTTATACCTGAGGAGAGGCATGAACTTATGCTGTTGTTTGTAGGTCTATATTGATTGGTCTCCTGAAAGAAGATCAGAGAACCTCAACTGCAAAGTTGCACTTATTTGGATTCTCAAAGCTTCCTCCTTACTGTAAAATTCCCTGATTCATCCAGACTGGGTACTTTTCCTTCAATATTTCCTCTGCCTTTTGCACCTTGCTAAGGGGTAGTAAGACTGAACCTAATTTTGTATATTATTTTATATTCTTTTTCTTAAGGAGTCCTCCCCCTTCTTGCAACTGTATAAAATTTAGGTTCCAGTAAATCTGGATCCATCCCTTCATATACCTTCAAAACAGTAAATATCATATTTTCCTCTGATTATTTATTCATGGTTTTCATGCCAGACCTAGCATTGTGTTTGCCACATAGTAACTGCTCAATAAATATGCAATATAAGTTTTCAGAAATTTTATCTGTAGGTCTTTCTATGTCATTGGGCATTTATTATTAGTGAAATTAAGAATTCAAAGTAAGGCCAGGCCTGGTGGAGCACACCTGTAATCCCAGCAGCTGAGGAGGCTAAGGCAGGAGGATCTAGAGTTCAAATCCAGCTTCAGCAACAGCAAAGCGCTAAGCAACCCAGTGAAACCCTGTCTCTAAATAAAATACAAAATAGGGCTAGGGATGTGGCTCAGTGGCCAAAAGCCTGAGTTCAATTCCCAGTACCAAAAAAAAAAAAAAAAAAAGAATTCAAATTAAGGCATACAAGTCTACTAAAAGGAAGTTGATTGGCCCATCCCAAAATATTACATCTGTCCTTCAGCAACTTTTCTTAATCCAGGTTTCCTTTCCTTTGCATACAGGACAGAAATTTGCCCTTGCTTCACTAGGATAAGCAGATTGTTCCACAGACACATAAAATTGGCAGGAATCAGAGTCAGTGCCTACTCGAGGTTAGCTCTCCTAAGATATCTTTTTTTTTTTTCCAAGAAGGATAACATTTTAATCCAACAGTACATGTTTATTGTTGAAAACATGGAAAGAGAATAAACACTATAAGCCCACCACCCAGAGAAATAATGTACTGCTATATATATATGACTATATCAAATTTTTTAATAACTTTATTTATTTATTTATATGTGGTGCTGAGGATCAAACCCAGGGCCTTGCACATGTGAGGCGAGCACTCTACCGCTGAGCCATAACCCAGCCTCTCCATCCAGAGGTGGTCTGCCAATGAACTCTATCCCGGCACTTTTTATTTTTTTTGAGACAGGGTCTCACTAAGTTTGCCCAGGTTGGCCTCAAATTTGGGATCCTCTTTTCTCAGTCTCCCCACTCGCTGGAATTACAGGCATGCTTCACAGCCACCGCGCCTGTCTTCAATATTTTTTTTAAAAAGAACTCATTTACACACATAGTATAATGTGAAAGAACATCCTCCAGTATGCAATAATCAATACTAAACTTCCAGTCTGAAACTTAATTTTCAAAAGCTTTTAATAAAAGTGATTTGTAATCTCTGATATAAAGTGTTAACTATCAGCTATGGCGCATGCATGCCATATTTCCAGAGACTGGGGAGGGCAACTTAGCAAGACCATTCCAAAAAAAAAAACAAAAAAATGGCCAGGCGTGTGGCTCAGCAGTGAAGCGCCCCTGGGTTCAATCTCCATCACTACCAAAACAAAAAACAAAACACAGTAAAGTATCTTGTTCTAGTGCACAAAGACTGAAGTTATTTATACCTAAGTAATTATAATTCTGTAATGTGTCACACAAATGCAATATAATGCGCATAGATATAATATAAACTACAAATGCCGAGGACAATTGCAAAATATCCTTTTATTTATAATAAAGCGACTCCACTTCCACGCACCGCTCCAGGGGGCACTGAAAGGGAATATCTGACGAGAAGGATCAAGATGGGCTCCTGGGATCTTCCAGCTAGATTATTTCACCTCTAAACGTTGTGAAGTTGAGGAAGGTTCACTTGACTGGTTTAGATTAAAAAAAAAAAAAAAAAAAATCATTTCGTCAAGGAAAAAAGCGGCGGGAAGCGACCAAACGTTTGAATGCAGCTAAGGAGGAAACCGCGTCAGCTCAATTTTCCAATTCCGGAACGCCGCGGAAGCCCCGCCCGGGGCGACGCGGGGCCTGCTGGGAGCTGTAGTGTGGCCCGCGCTGGCGCGCCGCGCCCGGGGCCCCTCCAGACTGCGTTTCCCGGCAGGCCGCGCGCGGAGGCTGCCGGCGGGACTGGAGTGCCGCGGTGGCTGTGAGAAAGTGACCCGTCGGCGTAGGTTCCCGTGTTAGTGATGGCTTCCTTCGTGACGGAGGTTTTGGCTCATTCGGGGAGCCTGGAGAAGGAGGATCTCGGCACCCGGATCAGCCGCCTGACTCGGAGGGTGGAGGAGATCAAGGTGAGTGAGGGCTGGCACCTTCTGACCCGAAAGGGGCGCCAGGAGGATGTTTAGGGACTCTCTAGGAGCCGGACAGACAGCAGGTGTCTCCGAAGTGGGGCCAACCGGGGAGGTCCGGGTGGGGGAGTTGCGTGGGAGGAGAGGCGTGTGGGCTAGGGAGAGCGCTCCGACGGGAGTCCAGGGGCCGCCCGGCGTAGAGGAGGACTGGAGCTGCGGGAGGGAGGGGTGGTGTTTGGCGAGGGTCAGGGAGTGGTTAGGCTGGGGACTGGTGCACCCGGGGGAAGGAGCTGGGGAAAGACCAGCACAGCGGGAGGTGGAGCTGGATGCGCTGAGAGGGAGCGTCTGAGATGTACAGAGGACCAGACCAGTCACCCATCTGTGAGTGTTCCATCTCCTCCACCCAGTCTTCCATTTGTGGGTGGAAATAATAGCTTTGGGAGGATTGCGTCGTCCTCCTCCCTGAAATTTCTTTTTGAACTCTGAATATGTTTTTAAAACTATTCTTCATCCCCAAGTACTTGAGGCCGTGCTGAAGGTTATGCCATTATTATACATGGACCTGCCGCTTCTGGCCACACAGTTTCATTTTGTACTGATATTACCTTGCCAGCATTGGCCCACATCTTCAGTGACTTTCATTAAAACTTTTATGTACCTGCTTAAGTCTAGACTAAGGGAACAAGTTCGGCACACACCACAAAGTCAAAAGATAGATCGCTTCTTGACAACTCTTTATCATACAAAGTGGTTTCTGAAATTTTAAGTATACCTATCACTGACATTTCCATTACATGATTTTAGGGGTTTTCACCACTGTTTAATGTTATGGAAAGGGCCTATTTAAGCTACCTTATGACACTCAAGACTCCTACCTTTCTAGACCTAAGCTACATTTCCTTTGACTAGTTTCCTTTATCATCTTAAATCTTAAACCAATTGAAATTAATTTCTATGGTCCATTCAGGTCCAATTTGTTTTTTCTAGTTCCCAGATTTTGCTCATATTATTTACGTCTTTCTGCCATTTTTCAATGTATTTCTACCCATTTTTCATTTTCCATCTCAAATTAATCTCCTGCATTAAAAATAACCTCATTTTATCCCAGAGGTGATTTTTCTCATTTGTTTTTCTGGAGGATTTTGTGACTATTACATTTCAGTCATTTTTTTTTTTTTTTTTTTTTTGGTTACTGCAGTGTATAGAATCTTTCCTAGCAAAAAGGAATTTGTTAAAAGCATATTTATTTTTGTATTGTCCAAAGCATTAAATAATTCAATGCAGGGTAGATTGTCTATAAAGATAATCTCAATTAAAGGAGATAATGAAGCTCATTATTTTGGGTTTTGAGAGTAGGCCTTAAAATGTCATAGGCTAGAAGATAAAAATAGATTGAGCTATACATATAATTGATTTCATTTATCCATTTACTTTTCTATTAGATATCTGATTAAAATTGGTGGATACAGTCTGATAAATTCAATATGAGAACTTCTGGCTTCACCTTTCTTTTTTCCAGCATTTGTACAATTTTTGGGCACTCTTGATGTTTGGTAATGTATGGGCCACTTAAAGGTGGGAGAAATGTGTTTTTAAAAGAAGCTCATTAGCTTGGAGGGAAGGTGAGTGCTGTGAGTTAACTGTTAAGAAAACTCCCACATGCAAGATGAATCTTATAAAATGAGCTATGTATTGTTAGTAGAGTTCCCTACTCATCTCACTGTTTATGATTTTTTTTTTAATATTATAGGGTGAGGTATGCAATATGATCAGCAAGAAGTACAGTGAATTTCTGCCTAGTATGCAGAGTGCACAGGACCTTGTTACCCAGGTGGATAAACTATCTGATGATATTGACCTGCTGAAATCCAGAATAGAGAGTGAGGTAAGAATAGTTTGTTTTTAGCAATTTTGGGGGGACCCTGGGGATTGAACTCAGGGATGCTTAACCACTGAGCCACATTCCCAGCTGTGTTTTGTATTTTATTTATAGACAGAGTCTCAGTGAGTTGCTTAGTGCCTCGCTGCTGCTGAGGCTAGTTTTAAGCACGAGATTCTCCTGCCTCAGCCGCTGGTGAGGCTGGAGGAATCACAAGCATGAACCACTGTGCCTATGTTTTATCAATTTTTAAAGATTTTTGCAGTATTGGGGATTGAACTCTGGGCCTTGCACGTGCTAGGCAGGTGCTCTACCATTGAACCATATATCTCTACTTTCCTAGAATAGTTTTGTATTTTTTGGGTAGGTTTATAAGGAGGCAGTTCCGCTTCCTGATTTCTAAGACAACTTAGTTCCACACAACTTTTCTTACTTCCTACCATCCCTCTCTTCTTGCCCCCTTCCTTTCTTCCATCCTTCCTTCCTGTACTGGGGATTGAACCCAGGTATGCTTTACTATTGAGTTACATAGCCAGCCCTTTTTATTGCTTATTTTGAGGTGGGGTCTCACTAAGTTGCTTAGGACCTCACTCAGTTGCTGAGGCTGGCCTTGAACTTGTTATTCTCCTATGTCAGCCTCCTGAGTCAGTAGGAATACAGGTGTGTGTCACGTGCCTGGCTTTATACAGCTTTTCAAGACATCACTTTCCTTATTGGTAAATGGAAGTTAAACTAAATGATTATAGGCGAATTGAAACATTTTGTAAAATAATAAACTTTTTTTTTTTTTGTACTGGGAGTTGAATACAGGTGTGCTTAACCACTGAGCCATATCCACAGCCCTGTCATCTATTTATTTATTTATTTTTCAAGGGAGCCATCTTATTTTATTGATTCCCCCCGCCCCCCCACCAATTTCTAAACTCTTCAGGTAATTGAGCTCTCGGGTTCATGACTCTGGAACATGCTGTGAACATTGTATTAACTCCCATGATGATCCTGATTTTTAAAAAAATTTTTTTTTAGTTGTCAATGGACATTTAATTTATTTACTTATGTGGTGCTGAGAATTGAACCCAGTACCTCACACATGGTAGGTAAGCACTCTATCACTGAGCCACAACCCCAGCCCCAGTGAACCAGATTTTTACTATTTTGCTCTTGTTGAAATGTTACCCTCTGTATCCCTGTCCCCTGTTGCTAGTAATTCTCCTCTGTGGTTGAATTCTACTGTAGAGATGTTACAGTTTCAGACGTCTTAGTCCATAGATAGCCAGCTCCATACTTTTGGGCCCAAGGTGAGGTAGAACATCAAGGTAGAAGGGCGCGGCAAAGGAAGGAAGCTCAGACATGACAATTAGAAAGTAGAGAGAACTTATTTATTTATTTTGAGACAGAGTCTCACAAATTGCTTCGGGCCTTGGTAAGTTGCTGAGGTTGGCCTCTAGCTTGTGGTCCCCTGCTTTAGTCTCTCAAGCTGCTGGGATTACAGGTGTGTGCCACCACAGCCAGCACATGCATCTTTTTTTTTTTTTTTTTTTGTAGTTGTTGTAAATGGACAAAATGCCTTTATTTTATTTGTTTATTTTTATGTGATGCTGAGGATTGAACCCAGAGCCTCACGCATGTTAGGGAAGCCCTCTTCCCTGAGCTACAGCCCAGCCCCACATTGTGTGTTTTACTTTTAATTTTTTTTTAAAGAGGGGGGCGGTGGGGAGAGAGAATTTTAATATTTATTTTTTTAGTTTTCGGCGGACACAACATCTTTGTTTGTATGTGGTGCTAAGGATCGAACCCGGGCCGCACACATGCCAGGCGAGCGTGCTACCGCTTGAGCCTCACCCCCAGCCCACATGTGTGTTTTAATGGCCAGCATTCTCTTAGATTTGTATCTGGCCTCAACACTATGAAGCTTCAGCACAATCTTCCGTGTCTTTGGCTGTCTCTTGGAAAGTTGGTTTGGTTTGCCTACCATAGTCACTCTACTTGCTGCCATCAAGCTACTTTCCTTGAGCAAACAGGATCTGTGCCCTTCTTGTACAGTATCAATTTGTGGGCCTAGTGCTTAAAATAATTCTTATGTAGAGTCTGGCAGATTTTAGAAATGTTTACATGTTTGCTGGGGTCCTGTCATCATTCTAGTAAGCAGGAGTAAATAAGCAGGCCAATTTGGAAACAAATATCTGCTTTAACAATGAATTCCTCTATTATGTATGATTATAATGCATCATAAAAATAATAATTATAAAACTTTTAAAGTATACTTTTTAAAGTATTTATTTGCTCATATATTATCTCACCAGGATTTTTTTCCCTGTAGTTTTCTTTTAGAAACAATAAGCATTATAGCTGGGTGCAGTATTGCACATCTGTAATCACATTAGCTCTGGAGGCTGAGGCAGAAGGATTGCAATTCAAAGCCAGCCTTAACAACTTAAGAGTTCCTAAGGAACTTAGTGAGACCCATTCTCAAATAGAAATTAAAAAGGCTGGGAATGTGGCTTAGTGTTTAAGTGCCCCTGGGTTCAATCCCAGTACCTAAATAAATTAATAAATAAAATACCATTTGGAAGAAAACATGCTGATACTAGATATTTAAACAAAATCTAACCTTAAGTGTCTCTATAAAATTATTTCTCAGGGATCTTGATACCAAAATCTTGATGTTGAGGTATTTCTAAGTCTTTACCATCAAGAAGAAACAGGACACTGTTCCCTGTGTGATAGTTATTAAAGAACAAATGTTTTCTTCTAAAGTTCTATGTAGAACTTGACTCACAAATGAGAAAAATGTTGGTTACATAGAAAGTCTGTTAGAAGCCCTAACAATCACTCATGATCATTTTAATCATCCTAATTAGTGTTTTTAATAAAAATAAATCAGGGCACAGTGGCTGATACCCGTAATCCCCGTGACTCAGGAGGCCTAGTCAGGAGGATTGCAGTTTGAAGCTAACCTTTGCAACTTAGTGAGAACCTGTTTTAAAATAATATAAAAAAGTGGTAAAGCACCCCTGGATTCAATCACCAGCACTGCTCACCCCAGATCTGTTACTTTACAACCATGGCACATTTGAAAGAATATTCCCAGAGTGTATTTGTACTTCATTGATTATTTGTTCAGTGAGTCAGTAATGCAATGTTAGACCATGCTGTTAGAAGTGAAGTATCTTAGTCAGGCATGGTGGTGGACATCTGTAATCCCAGTGACGTGGAAGACTAAGGCAGTAAGATTACAAGTTTGAGGCCAGTCTCAGTATCTTAGATCTTGTCCCAAAAAGGGTTGAGGATGTAACTGCCCAGCAGTTCAACTGCCCCACTCAACCCCTAATACCAAATAGAGAGAAAAGATGGAGTGACTAAAAGAAGACATTAATGGGGGGGGCTCTGTGTACCTTTTGTGGGCAGATTATAGCTGGTGAAATGTGTTAATTTCTGATTGTTGTAGTTTGAAAGATGGTTGGTCTGGATGAGAAGGTTCTGAACACTACCATTGAAGAACAATGAAAGAAGCAAGAAACTGAAGATAGTAAGCCTTAGGAAGAGACATTTTCAATATTTAAACCTCCATCATATGGGAAAAAGATACATATTTAGGGCTTAAGAAGGGGAATTAAATTTAGTAAGTAAATGTTGCAGAGAAAAATTGTTCAGATATTTGGCATAATTATCAAGTACCTGCAAGGTGTAAGATACTGTGATCATTGCTAATGAGATTGTTTTTATTTCAAAGAAAACTCTCAGATATAGATGAGTAAAATAGTGTAATGCAGTAGTAAATAGGAGTAATCTAGTTAGAGGAGATGTAGCCAAGAATGGCTTCCCTCCTGAAATAGTCTCCAAACCAAGGCCTGAATATTAGGTGGTTAGGCCACAAGGGAAGGCATAAGGAATTTTAGGTAGCCATAAGGAATAACATTGCAGAGGTATGGAGGTAATGAAGAATTGTCACTTTTGAGGACTGCAAATATTCCATATGACTGATGTTTATGAATTGCATTGGAAGGGATGTGAGAAGAGATTAGAAAGGTAAGCAAGTACTTTGTATTAGGTTAGTAGTATGGATGGCATTATCAAAGCCATGGAGGAATTTAAGAAGGAAATAACATTAGATTTGAATTTTAAGAGTCCCATTCAGCATGCAGTTTAAAGAAAGTACTTGAGGGAAATGAGCTTGGGAAATGGGAAAGCAGAGTGTTAGATGCTGTTAAAATAATTCAGGAAAAATGGTTTGTTGATCTAAAGTCATTAATAAGGGAGATGAGAAAAATGGACAAATCTTGGTGATGTTTAAGATTTAGGATCTTTGGGATATACTGATATGGCAAGTGAAAGCAAGGTTCAGGGGTTAAGAGTAATTGGGAAACTAGCTCATTGATATACCATTCACTGAAATAGAGAATATAGAGAAAGAGTAGGTGTTTGTTGAAGATTTGGGATATTTAAATTTAAGGTACCTACCTGAAGGATGTCCAGATGGACTTTCACAGTTAGTTTGTATTAAGATGAAGGCTAGAGTATTATAAAAAAAAATGAAAGAAAGAAAAAAAGACTTTGAAATGCAATGACTCAAGATACATTAAAAAAAATGATATTAGTTTAGGTTAGCAAACTTATTCTACAGCCTAAGGTCTGGCTACCCTAGTATAGTCTATGCCAACATAGATAATTTTTATTTTATTTTGAGAGAGATTCTCTCTAGTTTGCTCAGGCTAAATTCAAACTTGTAATCAGCTTGCCTTAATCTCCTGAGCTTCTGGGGTTATAGGTGTGCAATATCGTCCCCAAGATTAAAAAAGAAAAAAAAAAAAGAAATCTTTCTAATAGTTAAAACTCTTCAGTTACAGATATCACTTTGGCAACTGGGAATACCTTACTAGTAATTTAAGTGGATGAAATCTGCTGAAAGATAACTGTTTAAGAATAGAAAATCTCATGAGGAAGTTGTGTTGATAGGGTACTTTACCACTGAACTTCATCCTCACTATTTGTATTTTTTATTTTTGAGACAAAGTCTCACTGTGTTGATTAGGACCTTGCTAAGTTGCTGAGGCTGATCTTGAACTTGCAGTCCTCCTGCCTCAGCCTCCCTAGTTGCTGGGATTATAGGCATGTACCACTGGGATCATGTGGGATGGGTATTCTTACACAGGATAAAGGTTTGGACTAAGTGGACCTCTAAGTTCTCTTTCAATACCTTCTGTGATTTTACTGCAATTGAGACTAGTATTTAAATTTCAACATGAATTATATTGACCTACCAGCTTATTGATTAGCTGTAAAGGTTTTATTTCTTAGGTATGGTATAGTTTAAAAGTTTGTTTTTTAAGCTAGAGAGATTATTTTTATTTTTAAAAATAATTTGCTAATATTATTGATTACAAAATAACTTCTTCCTTGAATGACATCTGCCACTAAAAGTACTTATTTTGTATGTATGAATTAGGTCCGTCGTGATCTTCATGTATCGACTGCTGAATTTTCAGACTTGAAACAACAGTTGGAAAGAGACTCCGTGGTCCTGAGTTTGCTTAAACAGCTACAAGAGGTTGGTAAACTCAGCTCAAATGTTAATGTTTTGATGGTGAGAAAGTAATTTTTTTCCAGTTCTCATTGTTCAGTGCATATTTCCTGACCAAAATTTTTTTTCGTATTTTATTTTATGGGTTCAGTTGGGATTGAACCTGGAAGTGCTTTACCACTGAGCTACATCGCTAGTTCTTTTTACTTTTTGAGACAGGGTCTCACTAAGTTGGCACAGCTGCCCTCAATCTCATGATCCTCCTGTCTCAGTCTCCCAAGTCCCTGGGATTCTAGGCAAGCACCTTTGTGCCTGCTTTTTTCATATTTTTTAAAAAAAGACTTGAAATACTAGGGGGTATACAATAAAATACTTCATAACTTGGACTTCTCTTTTCAGTTTTCTACTGCTATTGAAGAATATAATTGTGCATTAACAGAGAAGAAATATGTCACTGCTGCTCAGCACCTGGAAGAGGTACTAAAAGCTTTCTGTAAAACATAACCAATTAGTGCTATCCTTGTTCTTAGTATACGTTGTGTTCTGTGTATTCTTTATTATTATACAAATATACTCTTAATTTCTCTGAGTCCAGGTGGAGTATTTAACAATGCTTCCATTTCACTACCAGGCACAGAAATGTTTGAAGTTATTAAAATCCAGAAAATGCTTTGATTTAAAAATATTGAAATCTCTCAGCATGGAGCTCACAATACAGAAACAGAACATACTTTATCACCTTGGAGAAGAGTGGCAGAAGTTGATTGTATGGAAATTCCCATCATCAAAAGGTGCTTCTGACCTCAGGTGGACTGCTTTGCTTAATCTGCCAGAACCAGTTTGAACTCTGAATATATTCTGAATATTTTGTATTGGAAGATGAAGTTTCAGTTATTAGTCCCCCAAGTCTATGTTGAAACCTTATGATAAACAAGGAGTCCCTGAAGTGCCCTCACTTTACTTTCCTTCCACCTTTCTTTCCCCTTCTGTAGGAAAGTGAGGATGGATGATTAGTGGTTAAGGTCTACATGGTAAGAGTGGGATGGAGAAGGAGGTAGTAGTTTGAGACCATGCGAAGTTTCTTATAGCCTCATAGAATGTACCTAATTTAACAGAACTAATCCCAGCGGTTGTCTTGGATGGAAAGCTTAAGGAAACCATTTAGCCATTCTCTCTTGCTGAGGAAAGAAGGCAGGAGGGGCAGAGCAGGAGGGACTATGGGTAGAAGATGGGTTTGGCTCAGTTCTTTTTCAATTCTTGGGGGAAATATGAGTATTTTGAAGGAAGTAATTTTGGAAAACAATTTTGAATTCTGCTTACAAGTAGGCTGAAGGGAAGATGGCAGGTGTGTTGGGCTTTTTGTCACAATATTACAACTTGTTTGGCATGTGTATCTTTTTTTAGTTGTAGATGGAAACAGTAATTTTGTTCTTATAATTTTTTTTGTAGTTACAGATGGACAGCATACCTTTATTTTATTTATTTTTATGTGGTGCTGAGGATCAAACCCAGTACCTCACATGTGTGAGCCAAGTGCTTTGCCCCTGAGCTACAATCCTAGCCCAATAACTTTGTTTTATTTATTTATTTTTATGTGGTGCTGAGGATCAAACCCATTGCTTCACAGGTGCGAGGCAAGTGCTTTGCCACTGAGCTACAACCCCAGCCCAGGCAGATATATCTCTTGTTAAAAAAAGCACACAGAAGCCAGGTGCAATGGCTCACACCTGTAATCCCAGTGGCTTGGGAGGCTGAGGCGGGAGGATCATGAGTTCAAAGCCAGCCACAGCAAAAGTGAAGTGCTAAGCAACTCAGTGAGACCCTGTCTCTAAATAAAATACAAAATAGGACTGGGGATGTGGTTCAGTGGTCAAGTGCCCCTGAGTTCAAGTCCGGGTACCAAAATAAAAGAACATAGAAAAGGAGGTCTATAGAACTAGGAACTCATTTTTTGTTCTTTGCTTTCAGTTTGTCATTCAGTATATATTTAGTAAGCATTTCTTTTAGGCAGTCATCTTTTACAATTAATTTGTTTCTCTGGACATACCAAAAAAACCATTTCCTGTTTTAAAGGGATGCCAGTGACATGCATGTCATAATTAATATTTGATTGTATTAAAATATATTGTAATGAAACTACATGCTTAGAAATCTCAGTGGAAGATAGGCTCTGAGGAGTAGAAATGAGATCGTGTATTGCTCAAGCAGCTGATATTTTTTTCCCTTTATTCTTAGATACCAGCAGTTTAGAATCTTGTCTGCAAACAGAACTTCATTTGTGTACTGAACAATCCCAGAAAGAGGAGAAGACCCTTATGCCATCCATGAGTTCTGTCTTGTTGGCATTTTCTATCCTTGGAGAACTACACACTAAGCTTAAATCATTCGGTAAAGCATATGGTTTGTTTCATTCATATTAAAGGCACAGGAGGCCTAGTGTTAAAAGGATGACAAGATTATAAAGTATATTCTGGAGAATATTTATGACAGTGTTTTGCCTCATGATTCATTAAAAGGAGAAAAAGGGCTTGTATCTTTTCTTTTTTCCTTTAGAAAAAACATAGTTTCTATTTACTTATTTTGTTTTTTAAAATCAGAAAATTTCAGTGAGAATACTTGTAGTGCACAAAGACATAGTATATGTATTTTGGTTTTGAGAATGAACTATATAGATAATAGATTTTTTTTGCATGTTTACTCTTTAGAAGTTTCCTCATGATTTTTGGTGAATATTCATATGATTTTTAGGTCAGATGCTGCTGAAGTATATCCTTAGGCCTTTGGCATCTTGCCCATCCCTTTATGCAGTGATAGAAAGCCAGCCTAATATAGTTATTGTTCGTTTCGAATCTCTCGTGACTGACTTGGAACATCCATCACCATCCGAAGTTTTTGAAAAGATCCGACTCGTGCTAGAAGTGCTTCAGAAACAGCTTCTAGGTGTGTATCCCCAAAATGTGCTTTTATACTTTGGGAAAACAAATATTGTTTTATAAAGTAAATATTATGTTATTTTAAAGTTGAAATGCCTGTAATGTGAATGAAGGGAGGATCAGAAGTAAGTGATGCCAAAGGAACAAAGTAATTACCTTCTTATTTCTTGCCTACTTTGCATTTCTTCCCTGCTCTATATTGATAAAAGTCTTGTCATCAGTGGTACCACCAAATTCTGTATTTGTAATTTAGTTAAATGCCAGGATCTAATTTTCTTACTGAACTTCTAGTAACATTACATTTTGGGAATCTTGCATTAATTACAGGAGGAGATATTAACTAAATGTTTTACAAGTTTCAGTGGGAAAATCCCATTAATCTGATGTAAACAAACAAACTGGGTTTAACATAAAAAATAAGTTACATTTCAGCTTAGCCTATTGGTTAGATGTTTATTCACATTAAGAATAACCAGTTTCTGTGTTGCTTTGAATCAGTTTATTTTATTTATCATCCTATTAGAAGTAAAGTTTTTTTTGGTGTTTTATTTTCTTACTGTTGTTTTTTTTTTAAATCAATTTGACTTATCTTCATTTTGCTTTTCTCATTGTCTTGTTGAATAGTTTAGCCAACGTTTTGACTCTGGAGAAAATTAAAAAGTACTGTAGCTGGGCATGGTGGCACATGCCTATAATCTCAGTGACTCTAGATGCTGAGGCAGCAGGATCATAAGTTTGAAGCCATCCTGGGCAACTTAGTGAGACTATCTCAATATAAAAGGAGGAAATAAGTAAATAAATAAAAGGACTGGGGATGTGGTGATGTGGGAGTGTGGCTCAGAGGTAGAATGCTCCTGTGTTCAATCCCAAGGTGTGCGCGAGCACACACACACACACACACACACACACACAAAAAAAAATGCTGTTGTTTTTAGGCTTTCCGGACACTCATATATTGTTTAGTTATATATATGTAATTCGTTTGTAAAGCAAGAAAGTCTTTGTATGGTTTATATTGTTTTGCAATACTAGGGATTGAACCCAGAGACACTCTACCATTGAGAAAATCTTTATCTTCACTCACCTTTTTTTAAAAAATTTGAGAATGTTCTTGTCATGGTGCCTAGGCTGGTCTCAAACTTGTAGTCCTCCTGCCTCAGACTTCTGAGTAGTGCCATCACACCTGGCTTCTTTTGTAAAGTTTTGTCAGGAAGAAATTTAAAAAAAATCCTAAGCCTTATATAAGCTGCAATAGTGCAAGGTAGTTTTCTTGTTCCTAGGTTTTTTACTTGGGGAAAAATGCAATTTAAAATTTATTAGGCTGATATGATAGTGCACATCTTTAATTCCAGTGACTTAGGAGGCTGGGACAGGAGGATTGCAAGTTTAAGGCCAACTTCAGCAATTTAATGAGACTCTCAAAAATAAAAAAATTAAAAGCGTTGAGGATGTAGCTGAGTGGTGAAATGCCCCTGGGTTCATTCCCCTGGTACCATAAAACAAAAACAACTTTTTTATTAGATGTAAACAGAGTTTTAAAGCACCTCAGAATTGGAAAGAATCAGAGCCGATTAAATCCAGATATCTCTGATGCTTTACTCTCCTCTTTATCATTCCCTCAGTTGGTCTGATAGTACCCTGAGCATCTTTAGTGAGAGGAAGCTCACTTCCTTTTGAGATTCCATTCTGCTTTGGGGGCAACTCTGAGTACCTGGAAGTGTTCTGTTTTGTTTTTTAAAATCTGTACATCACCCATCTGTACCAAATACTATTACCCAAAGGCAAATTTAATTTTCAGGGTAGTTCTTTAAAAATTTGTTCAAAATATGTTTCCCTGCAGTATCTGCTTTACTGAATGTTATTTATTTTACATGGAACCATCCAGATCAGGTTATTCCTGTGATAAAAGTTGGATTTTCATATTCTTTACAATACATCTACATATTATTACCAATATAAACATTTTTAGTTTTTTTTTTAATTACATAGTTTTAAGTTGCCCTTATCATTATTTCTCTTCTGTTGTTGGCAGGTTTGGTTTTTCCTAAAGCCTCTTTCCTTGTTCTGTGGCCTTCTAGCTGTGCCTCACATGACATTTTCTCAGTGTTCTCCCATCTCTGGTGTGTCTCTTCCTTATTAAGGACACCAGTAATATTGAATCAGGAATTTACCATAATGACCTAATTTAACCTTCATTACCTCTTTAAAGGCCCTAAACTCCAAATACTGTACATTGGGTGTTAGGACTTCAAAATATGAATTTTGTGGGGACAGTTCAGTCCTTGGAAAGTCTTTGTGTATTTATATATAAGTTGGAAAATTTACATATACTTTATTTATATATAATGTGATATCCGTAGCAAAACAAGTACATTGCCATTTTGTATTTTAGATTATTTGAGTAGTGTTTGGCAAGCATTCCTTTTCTTTTAAGAAAATATTGAAGATAATAGTGCAATAAATCTTTCTAAATCTCTTGCAAATTTAACTAATGAGCATTAAAGAGTATAGGATCCATTATATTTTCTGTTTTCTGTTTCTTTCGACATTTCCTTAAACCAGGGATAACTTATAATCTTTGCATATTTATAAACTGAATGATTTTAACAGCTATATTTGTTACATGGTTCATATAGTCTGTTTCAGAATAAAACTTCCAACCCAAATATTTATCATGCAGTGGAATGAAATAATAAGGAAATCATCAGTATCTTGTTTTAAGATTCCAGTAAATCTGGATTTTTTTTTTTAACCCAGCATGGCACTTGAACACTGTTGTGATAGAAACTAATTTTTTCATGTCTAACTGAAATTTTTCTTTGACAAATGTGAAAGATTTAAAAAATATATGCCATAAGATTGATGTTGGCTGTGAATTGACAGCATTTCTCTGTATATTTGCAAGTCCTTTTAGACAAAGTGTATCTATAAAGTATCATTTAAAGCTAAAGAAAAGTATTTGCATTTTTTCACAAATTGAATCAGTTGATCTTTGATATTGTTAGAAAGATCTTATGTTTTATGGGCAATATTTTACGCTGGCTTAATTAAAAATCTTTTATGCTGGGCACGGTGGCACATGCCTGAGGCAGGAGGATCACGAGTTCAAAGCCAGCGTCAACAAAAGTGAGGTACTAAGCAACTCAGTGGGATCTGTCTCTAAATAAAATACAAAATGGGGCTGGGGATGTAGCCCAGTGGTTGAGTGCCCCCAACTTCAATCCCTGGTATTTCCCCCCCCCAAAAAAAAAATCTTAGGTTTTATTTGGAGGTGCTGGGGATTGAATCCAGGGCCTTGTGCATGTGAGACAAGCACTTTTATCAATTGAGCTATATCCCTAGCCCCTCTTTCACGTGTTTGAAAATATATTTTCCTCATAATTAATGAAGAAAACTTAAATAATAGTTTCTTTTGTCATTTCTTCATCTGAAAATTATTTTCATTTGGCATAAGAATCCAAGTCGTTTTGTAACTGGCCAAAGTTAAAAAGTTTAGATCTTGGTAAAAATCACATTTTTTTGTTGATCCTTATGATTTTAAATGACTAATTTTGCTGAAAATGTTCCTTAAGATTATTCACTTTAAGCCAAGCATGAGGGTGTACAGCTCTAATCGTAGTGGGTTGGGGGCTGAGGCAAGAGGATCACAAGTTTAATGCCAGCCTAAGCAACTTAGTGGAAAAGTAAAAAGGGCTGGGGCTGGGACCTGGGGATGTGGCTCAAGTGGTAGTGCACTCGCCTGGCATGCGTGCGGCCCGGGTTCGATCCTCAGCACCACCTACAAAGATGTTGTGTCTGCCAAGAACTGAAAAATAAATATTAAAAAAGAATTCTCTCTCTCTCTCTCTCTCTCTCTCTCTCTCTCTCTCTAAAGGAACCTCAGGGTGAAAGAGTCTGGAGTAACAGAGAGACTTAGAGCTAATTTCAGGCGAGGCGTGAGTGCCGCTTGTCTAAAGGTGGCACTTCATTGAGAAGGAGCTCTCCTGAGGTAGGCCCCACAAGGCTCCAAACGATAAAATGGCAAAAGGAAAGACTTTGGCACGACAAGTCTCTCTTGGAAGAAAAGAAAGGGGATGGAAGGGAGAAG